GCGACCTCCTGGTTCATGGGTTTATGCTCAGCCACTGAGCCACACTGGCCAGGATATACATACATTTTAAAAAACATATTGCAGCAGTCATGGTTGATATCACTTTGACTTCCATTTTAAAAATCAAATTGGTAGTACTCAACTGGCTCCAGGGGACATTTGGCGAGGCCTGGAGACATCCTTCGACGGTCGCCACTGGGAGTGTGTTACGGGCACTTAGTGAGCACTACAACGTGCAGGAAACCCAAGCAGCAAAGACCGTCTGGCCCCACATGCCCGTGGTGCTGAGGTTAAGAAACCCTGTATCATACAATACCATTGGCATTAAATCACAATTTCTAGTTGGAACAAGCATCGTTTTAATGCCTGAGTTAAACCCCTCACTAAGAGGGGAATCCGAGGTGGGCTTGTTTTCCATTTTTCTCTGTTATAGATAATGCTGCAATAGACATCTTCGCTCGCTTTTTTCCTGCTGATTTATTCCTTTAGGATAAGTTCCCAGAAATCAGAAACCCTGAATCAATGGCTAAAAATATTTTTTCAGGTTTTCACAATTTTTTTAGGTATTGCCATTTTGCTTTACACATGGATTGAAACAAATCACACCCCACCAGTAGGGTGCGAGGGGACACACACATCTCAAATAGAGCACTGAGGTCCAGGTTGCCTCAATTTGCATTTAAAGTGCCACTCAGGAGGAATATTTTTCCATACTTGCTCTCTATCACTGTTTCATTGTTTGCCTTTTGCTTATTTTCCCGGGTTCTCAATGTTTTCCTTTTATTTATTTTTAAAATATATTTTATTGATTTTTTTTTTTTTTTTTACAGAGAGGAAGGGAGAGGGATAGAGAGTTAGAAACATCGATCAGCTGGCTCCGGCATACTCCCCACTGGGGTTGTGCCCGCAACCAACGTACATGCCCCTGACCGGAATCGAACCTGGGACCTTTCAGTCAGCAGACCGACGCTCTACCACTGAGCCAAACCGGTTTTGGCTCAGTGTTTTCCTTTTAAAATTGAACAAGATCTTTACTGAGTATAGATAATAATGCTGTTTTAGTGAATGCAATTATTTTTAAACTTAAAAAGTTTTACTTTCACCCCCACACTCCCTCCGGCATAGATATGTTAATGTTTCCTCCTAGAATTTTCATTTACAATTTTAATACTCTTGTTAGGGGCTGGTCACCTCACCCACTGCAGCCTCTGCACAGAGAGGCCCTGGGGAAGGCGGACTAGCTGGCGATTGATGTCAGCCACCAGGTAGGAACCGCGCTGGTCTCCGACCGCATCCCAGGCACGAAATTTCTCTTAATCAAACGAAAGGCCTTAGGAGGTGCCACAGGCAGGACGGGGAGTACGTGTGAAGGGGACGATCACATTCCGTGAGGAGCTTGCAGGACCCGCATTAAAAAAGGGCACCAGACCTTCAGGACCTCAGGACTGGCATTATTAACATGCAAAAAGTGCCTTATAAATACTTGATTCTGTTCGCAGTGGGGAGGCCGCTCGTTTGAAAGAGGAAGTGGGAGCTTGGAGTTGAAACACGTCTGCTTGTCTCCTTTTCCTTTTTTCCTTGCTCCTTTCATCTCCACATTTCCCCTTGTAGTTTTCTGCCCCCGCCACTCCCTCAGACTGACCCCCCCCCCCCCAACTCCTAGGGAGTGGTTGATGCCAGTTGCTCCTCTCATTTCTCTTTATGGATGTCCCTCCGAGGCCCTGGTCGGTCGCCAGGTGTGGAGGGGTGTCTCAGGAGCTAGGCCCACGATTTGCCATCCTGTGTATTGGAGGCAGGAGTCCCAAATCCTCCTGCCCCCTTCCCAGCGCAGACCCCACTTAGGAAAGGCACAGCAGAGGCACTTAAATCCAGGCAGTACCGCCTGGCAGGCGTGGCTCAAGGGCTGAGCATCGGCCTATGAACCAGGAGGTCACGGTTCTGTTCCAGGTCAGGGCACAGGCCCGGGTTGTGGGCTCATCCCCAGGGTGGGGCATGCAGGAGGCGGCTGATCGACAATTCTCTCATCCTTGATGTTTCTACCTCTTTCTCCCTCTCCCTTCCTCTCTGAAATCAATAAAAATATATTAAAAAAATAAAATAAATCCAGCCAGTAGGGGGCATCCGGAGGCAGCCTCCGGAACCTTATACATCCATGAACCCAGTCACGTCTCCAAGCACCCGCTGGCTTTCTCTCTTACCCACCCCCCAGGAGCAATCTCCCAGTTCTGGGCCTGTGACTTCCCCCCACAGCGTGGGGGTGCCGAAATATCCCACCTTTGGGGTTTCTTCTGCCCTCGCAGCCAGCACCGCGATAAAAATGTAAAAGCATTTCATGTGACTGAACTCCTAATATGGGAAGACCCCAGTGAAGGAGGGGGAGGACGAGTCAGTGGGGAATCGGAGAGAGGGAAGGAAGGAAGAGCAGAAACTGCTGAGGCTGATAAAGATCAATTTTGTGTGATAGCCCAGCCGGCTTCAGCGAGGAAGGCGACAGCGAGCGGAATCCATCAAGGTGCGTAACTGAAATCTGCTGGGCAGAAATTTGTTTCTAAATCCTTTCCAGATGCTTTATAGTAACTCGAAATTAGTCGTTTACACGGGGTAGGCTGAGGAAGTAGTTAAAACCGAAGTCAGTGATTAATCTAATAAAGGGCCATTAGCCTCATGAAGTCTGGGAGGGGGGCAGGGAGGACACCACCCCCTCTCCACCTCCATCTTCTGTGTTTGAGGGCTGGGGGGGCTCCCTAGCCTCTTCCTGAAGGGGCTTTCCTTTGGGGGCTGCTGCTAGAAGGAAGAAGGCAACTGGCTCTGGGGGGATCGACCCCCCTCTTTTCACGAAGGAGGCACGTGACCTTCTCAGAGCAGCTGGTTTTGCCTCAGCCTCACGGGCGACCCCAGGGTCAGAGTGTCAGACCCTCGGCCTGGAGTTCCTCTGACAGCAGGTTAACAATGCCGTCTAGGACCTAATATGACACATCTGAGCCCCTCTCATGGCAGGTGACGTTAGTTCTCCTGAAACAGCCACGGGGCTGGGCGAATTTGGAGTGTGTTTAGGCCCAGGCGTCTTCAAACTACGGCCCGCAGGCCACATGCGGCCCGCAGAGGAGTCTGATCCGGCCCGCCAGGTTTTTTGGGCAGTGAGCGCAGCCGAGGTGTTACAGTAGGAATTAGTAGTTCATATAGTCCGGCCCTCCGGCTCTCTGAGGGACCGTGATCTGGCCCCCACTTTAAAAAGTTTGAGGACGCCTGGTTTAGGGTATGTGAGGTATTCGCAGGGCCTTTGGAGTTGTGGAATTACCTAGGCAGTGGATCCCAGGTTTGATTCCGGTCAAGGGCACAAGCCCGGGTTGTGGGCTCGATCTCCAATAGGGAGCATGCAGGAGGCAGCCGATCAATGATTCTTTCTCCTCACTGATGTTTCTATCTCTCTCTCTCTCTCCCTCTCCCTTCCGCTCTGAAATCAATAAAAATAGATTTTAAGACAATAGATAGCATATTATCTTTTCCATTGTTACAGACTCTCTTAAAAAAAGCTTCTTGAGCCGAGACCGGTTTGGCTCAATGGATAGAGCATCGGCTTGGGGACTGAAGGGACCCGGGTTCGATTCCGGTCAAGGGCATGTACCTTGGCTGCGGGCATATCCCCAGTAGGGGGTGTGCAGGAGGCAGCTGATCGATGACTCTCTCTCATCGATGTTTCTATCTCTCTATCTCTCTCCCTTCCTCTCTGTACAAAATCAATAAAATATATTAAAAAAAAAAAAAAAAAAAAGCTTCTTGAGCCCATATAAAGTGTGTCTTCAAAGCGGGAATGTAAAAAAAAAAAAAGCAAACGTTGGTTGTGGTTCCTCAGTGTGGGAAGGGGTGGCTCAGCGGAGGCCTGACCAGGCCTGGGTGTCTAACAGGGAGAGTTCAGGTCCTTCCGGAGCCAGCTAATCGCACAGATGAAAACAAACACGACTTTTATCAGACTTAAAAAAAATCTATTAAAACGTACAGTTAAGATTGTTTTTTAATGAGTGTGAGGGAAGAGGTGAAAGTCGGGCTGGGGCAGGAAGTGGGAGATAAGAGAGAAGAGAGATCAAGCGTGCTGGCTGCCCAGGCTGTCCCACCAGGGATGGACCTGAGGGGAGGGAGGCGGGCTGACCTGTGTCAGGGTCTGGGAACCCTGAGCAGCAGCAGGAATTCCCCTGGCCTTTCTCTCCAGAGAGAGTTGGAAGACAGTTCCAGCCTCAAAGCTTCACATGAAGGAACCAAATTGCAAATATTTGGGGACATATGCCTTGGAATCACTGGTAGATATTCCTACCCCATCCAGATGCAGCCTTTTTCTCCTTTCTTCAAGGCAAACATGTACTTTTTTTCTGGATAGGCCCCCCCCCCCCCCCCCCACATACACATTAGGAATGAGAATTGGAGTGGAAAAATGGGCCCACTGCCATGAAGTCTTAGTGCCTCCAGCCTCCATGGATGGTACCTTTCTTTGTTCTTTGTTCCCTCTTTGGTGTTGCAGAAATGAGGGAAAAGCCCATTCAGCTTATTCATGAACGTGAAGAGCCAGACAAAATATTCCAAGTCTATGAGCTAAGGAACCTCTGTGATTTTATAGTTCATTTGTCTCATTTTATTGATGAGGCAAACGAGGCCCAGAGAGGTGAAGACTCTCATTTAGGGACGCACAGCAAGCCAGGACAAGAACCCAAACGTTCTGACTCCCCATTTCCTGCTCATTTGAAATCCATATTGTAGTCCTAGCCGGTATCTCAATGGTTTGAGCATTGGCCTATGGACTGAAGGGTTCAGGGTTCAATTCCAGCCAAGGGTACATACCCAGGTTGTGGGCTCAATCCCCAGTACGGGGCATGCATGAGGCAACCAATCAATAATTCTCTCTCATCACTGATGGTTCTCTCTCCCCCTCTCCCTGCCTTTCTGAAAACAATAACAATGTATCATAAATAAATAAGTATACATATAAATAAATAAAATCAATACAGTACCTGCTTCTCTGGCTTTTGAGTCAAAGGTGAGGTTTCATTAAAGACCATGTGAAGGTCGATTCCGGATTCAGTGTTTGCTGTGGTAGAAATTAGAAAAGAATCAAAGTTGTCAGATGTAGGTCTCATGAATTTTTATACATGCCATATGCATGCACACCCAGTTCATATGTGTAGGATTATAAACACACATACATACACAGATGGCATTCATATCTACTCAACCAAGAATACCCATAACCTCAATAAGCAGTCTAAACACCATGTTACATATAGTGTTAAGGCATATTCACATTTCTCTTCTTGTTTTGGTTGATCTTTGAAAGAAAAATTAAATCCTTTGTGCTACTAAGACTCAAAGCTGAAATTAAAAAGGAAATATTGATGGGAAAAATCTGCTGATGCTGCTGAATATAAATTTTGTATGATAGCACTTCACAGAAGCAGGAAAATGCTTCTGCAACCTTCCAGATCGAGAGATCAGAGACGTCCCCTTTCCCTCACGGTGTGTAGATCTCAACAGGAGAGGAGGGGTGTGATGCCAAAGGCCCCCCCCCCCCCCAGGAGCAGGCGCCCCACAGACACAGACAAGGTGTTGGCATGTAATCCACACGCTTCTCCTCTGCGGTTGTACTATTTCTGCTCCCTACAGGTGTGGAAACTGAGGCTCGGAAGGTAAAGTCACTGACTCCAGGTGGTATAGCTAGTGAGGTGTTTTTTAAAAATATGTTTTTTATTGATTTCAGAGAGGAAGGGAGAGGGAGAGAGATAGAAACATCAATGATGAGAGAGAATCGTTGATTGGCTGCTTCCTGCACGTCCCCTATTGGGGGTTGAGCCCACAACCTAGGCCAGCATTCCGATCGAGTATTGAACCAGGACCTCCTGGTTCAGAGGTCAACCACTTGGCTGGGCGCTAATGAGGTTTTGAGCCCAAGATTGCCTGATTTAAACCCCAAGCTGCCGAGGGATAGGGTTTATTTTATTTTTCCTCCTTCCTCTTAGAAAGTAAATTTAATGTTTATAAAGGAATGTTTATTTGAGGAACAAATTTAGCCAGGCACACGGCTCCTCTGTCAAAGGAGTTTAGCCTCTTGTGTGGGACGAGTGTCCAACGAGAAGTTCTTTCCATGCCTGCTGCTCACAAGTAGCTCTTGTAGGAGCCTGCGGCCACATGCGACTCTGCTTCTTTGTCTCCCTGACCTGAATCCTCCAGCCACGCCTTGTGGGCTGACCTTCCCTCCTCTGTTGTTTCTCAGCTGTCCTCCTCTGCCTCCTTTGAAAGTGGCTTCTGTACAGATTTCAAACGTTTACAAATTGAAAACAGCTGGGGAAACTGAGGCCCAGAGAGTGGTTTCCTGGGATTGGCTCAGGGCCATACCTTGAAATAGCCCCAGACCGGATCTCCTGATTTAGCATCTTGTACTTTTCCCTCCTCTGCCTCCTGCTAGCCTCACTGGAGCTTGCCACATCCCAGCTGCTTGGCCCCCGGACAAGTCCACCCCAGCAGAATCGGGTTGCAATGAGGTTCATTTCACTGTGGCTTGAAAGGAACCACGGGTCTCTTCAGAAATGAAACTTATAAATCCTAACGCATAAGGAAAGCTCTCGCAACACCAGGAGAAGGAATCAGTCAGCCAGAGTTCAAGCAATGTAAACACATTTCTAGATAGGAGGCTGAAATATCGCTTAAGACTTCTCCATCTCGTGGGTCAAGACCCTGATAATTTACGGAGGCCTCAGCTGTCGAGGAGGAGACGCGAATCAAACCGCATTCCTGAGAGATAGAGCAGTGGGGGTGGTGAAACTTTCTCTCTGGACAATGTGGGAAGACCCGCCCCTGTTATCAGGCCCAAGAAACGCACTCATCGACCAAGGCAGACGCCTGGCTGTGAACCCAGGCCCGGCTCCTTTTCATCATCGCGGAGGCGATGTGACAGTCACAGACACGGGGGCACAGCCTTCAGGCCGGCCGGACACTGGGCACGCGGGGTCTTTCTGTGATGAAGATTTCTGCCACCACAGAGATAAACAGAAGACACTTTCCCTCCCTGGCTGCCCAGCATCAGGCCCGAGCAGACCTTCAAATGCGCGCATTAATCTAACCACAGGCTTTTAGCGAGGAGATAGCCTTCCCTCCAGATAGCGGGGCGGCCCAGAGATGACCCTGACGAGATGGGGTCTCTTCCCCAGCCTCCCCTGCCTTCCTCACGTCATGGGATCCTTCACCAAACACTCAAGACGTGAATAGCAGGGAAGAGCATCTGATTCCAGTCTGGGAAGACGATGCCTTAGCGTTTCCTTCTATTTAAACCTATGCTGACTGTGTTTAATTGCCAAGTTGTGGTTCACTGTTTTCGTTAAAAATGAAAGATAGTCATTTGTGCTCTGGCGGGTCCCATCTGGTTTCAGAGTGGAAACCGAACTCCAGAGGGTCACCTTATCAGGCAAAGTGGGCCACCTGGCCCCTCCGTAGATGCGTGTCGGGGCTTGGGAGACAACATCAGACTGGTAGGCTCCAAAGAGGCCCACCGTTCTGTGGTCACAAGGGCAGTAGCTTTTGGAGGTGCCGGCAGGGGCCTCTCTAAAGCTGTGTAGGGCCTTTTCCCCTCTGAGGCACGAGTAGCCTTTGATCATGAGCCTGCTGTCATGGAACTTCCCCCACACTTGCAGTGGTTCATCATTGGGGAGGGGTCCATTCATTGCCAGAGGGACCTCAGGGAGCAGCGTGGCCTTCTCAAAGCTTTGCACACGGACATACAGCAGAAGCCAATAGGAGGAGGCCTAAAAATCGGCCTTCGTACCTTCATGGTTTTTATTTTGGTCCAAAATGGACAATGCAAAGGCAAATTCCAGATTATTAAGAAGAAATTCTTTCCAATATAAACTAAACCATAAAAGGAGGGATAATTCTGGTCCCTTTATATAGCCCAGCTGACCTTTCCTTAGGACTGCTATCTAAAAATACTTATTTCATATGAAACGACCCAAGATGTCTATGACCTATAGGGCGTTTGTTGTGTTATAATAAATCTCAAGCGTGCTTGTTTAAGGTAGGAGACTGAGACCCAAGATGGCCTTCTGGTATTGTCATTATCAAATTCTTGGGGTAAGATTTAATCTTCCAGGCTGATGAGGAGGGTGAGACGGGCATATCAAATACTTGCTCAAGACCTGAGAAAGTCTCCACGCTAAAGACACCCCCCCACTCCCCAGGGAAATCTATCAAAGAAGCCAACTAGACAGATCTAGAAGATATGAGTCATTCTGAATTTAAATATGGAAATGCAATAAATGCAAGAGGGATATTTTTTTTCCAATTTGGAATAACCGTTCTTTTACTTATGTCTTCGTAGACCAAGTCTAGCTCAGTCTCAAGGGTCTGGCTTTAGCTTTGGGAACACCAACTTCTCTCAAAAGTTCATAAATTATTTTTTATGGAGAGGTCCAGTGGTACATGGCAGTTTACCAAGCCCCAAATGGAACGCAAGCTAGATGGTGGAATTTAAATTTGACTTGTGTAGCAATAACAACAACAACAAAAAATCAGCTACATGAGAAACCCTCCAATCAAGATATATCATAAGATTAATAAGGATACTGCTGGTGGAAGAATGTATGGAAGAAGGGAATTAAAAAAGAGGTTGAAGGTAGAGCTACATACAAAGTGGCTAATCCATTTAATTCACGTGGTGGCCTTAATGGTGCAGAAAATATTATTCTTGCTCACTTGCTCTCAAACAAATATAGACATCTGGTCTCCCAGCCTCTAGTCTTTTCCCCTTCAATCCATTCTTTATATAGCTGGGAAAATCATTTCTCTGAAATAAAAATCTGGTTAATTCAATTCCCGTGCAAACAGGATCTCAAAGCTTTTGGGATAAATTCTTCAGTTGCTGGCTATGGCTCTTTATAATTCAGTTCTTGCTCACCCCTCCAGCTGAGTTTCTCACCACTTCCTCCCCTACGTGTGCCCTGGGGCCCAGGCATTACAAGCTGCTCTCACTTCTCCCATGCTGCCATTTTTTCTAACCTTCAGATGGCCTCTTTCCCTGGAGCCTCCTTTCCTCTTCTCCACTTGGCCACTCCCTACAGATATCCTTAGAAACTCAGCCAGTGTCCTCTCCTTCCAAAACACCTCTCAACCTCCAGGCGGAGGCAGCTTGTGCTCATTCTTAGCTCTAAGCACACTCCTCTACTTTAAGGCATGGACTTCGTCTCTCAACTGCATTCTTGTACCTAGCACTGTATTTGGCCTTAGTAGATGGCCAATTAGTATTTATTGAATGAATAAAAAATCTTTATGTGCTCTGTAAAACAGACTCAGTGTGAATGTACTTGACACTACTTTACCCTTAAAAAATGATTAAGTTGGGCAAATTTTATGTTATGTCTGTATTACCACAATTTAAAAATATGTTGGGTGTTAGGAGGAGATGAGAAATTGTGCTTCAGGCGGAGGGAACAGTATTTTCAAACAACTGGAAATGAGAACAAGATTTGAGTTAGCCTAATTAGGTCTTTTAGTGACTAGGAACAGAGAAGAGAAGGAGTAAGTTTTCTTTCCTTTCCCTGGACGTAGAGTTTGTTATGGGGCCATTCTGAAATAGTTTGTCTTTGGCATTCTACCATTTCCCTTTCTGTACTTTTCTCCTTCTTCTGCCTCCTTCCCTGTATAGCTAATATCTTCTATTAACCCAAGCCCTCTGGGGCCTTGTACCAGTCTGGCATGTTTCAACCCTTAAACTCTACTCACCCTAAAATTACCCACCTTTGTTTCCACCCCTATCAGAAATTGTAGTCCCTCGGCAGAGCTGTTCTCATCTAGGTTGCAAATAAATAAAATTTTACTAAAGTGTAAATGACTATTAGCCTCTCAGTATCAGTACTTTGAGAGAATACCTCTGAATTCAAAATAAGTCTCTTACTAGTGAGATTTAAATAGAACAGCAGAAGTGAAGTTATAATATTTTGGTCATATTAGGAAGAATATTCCTGGTCTGGAGAGCTACCTATCTTGCTGGAAAATCTGTCTCAAGAGTTTGGGCCTCCAGAGCAATTTCTTCTTTTTTTTTCAGCTTCTCTCCTTCTCCCATGTCTTTCAAAGTTGCAAATCATTTTCAG